GCCTCGAAAATCTGGGCCTTTCAGGAGGCGCTCCAGGAGACAGAGCCTTTCCAAAATCACGTTATTCCCTTTTTTTCTTTTTTTTTTTTCTTGCCTCCCTCCTGGCACGGACCGAGGTTCTGACAAACATTCCCCATCTGGGGCTTTGCAGAGGAACTCAAGGCACGGTTTTGTACGAAGGAAAGCAAAGACAGCTGAAACCCACCCCCCTTTTCTACCCCTGTGCCCCCTTCCCCCCTTGCTCAGGGTTGTTTTCCCTCCCTCCGGAGCCCCTGCCCATCCCTGGCAGCCGCTGGGCAGAAGTTATTTTCCATCAGAAAGGTCAGCAGTGCTCCAGTTTGACATTTCAAGTATCAATTGGTCATTAAGGCAACGAAGTGTTTAACAACCCGGCGAAAAACAAGAGCTGTTTTTCCGGAGATGGATTCACTGGGAGGGAGCAGGGGCTGCCCCATCCCTCTGCCCTTGCCCAGGGACACCCTCAGCTCCCTCATGCAGAGAGCAGGGAAGAAAACGTTAAAATAGCTCATCAGGGGTTATTTCAGAGGAAAAACTCACCCCCAGCCTCGCTGCTGTGCCCCGACCCTGAACACGCTCCACATTCCAGGGCAGAGCCACCGTCCCAAAGTCCCTGCGAGGTGGGCACAGCCCTGCCCCGACCCCCTGCCCCTGGGGGGCATCAGCATTGGGGGATTTAGGAGCCTCATGGATTAAACCCCTTCCCAAGGGACTCGGTAAATACTGGCCATGGATTTTTAGGGCAAGCCAGAGGCTGAGCCTGGGCTGGGATGAGCAGGGCCGTGTCCGGAGCCTAAATCCGTGCTGGCAAAGAGCAAAACGCTGGCCCCGCAATCAGGGAGCCCCTGCAAAGCCACAGCCCGGCCACAAAGCCAAGAGCTTTTTTCCCTCTGAGGGGGAAAAGCAGGAACAGGAGCTGGCAGAGCCTGAGGCGGAACAGGACGGCATCACCTCAAAACAGCATCACCCCAAAATGGGATCACCCACCACTGCATCACCCCAAAACAGCATCCCCCACCACTGCATCACCCCAAAACAGCATCACCCACCACTGCATCCCCCCAAAATGGGATCACCCACCACTGCATCACCCCAAAATGGGATCACCCACCACTGCATCACCCCAAACAGCATCACCCACCACTGCATCACCCCAAAATGGGATCACCCAGCACTGCATCACCTTAAACAGCATCACCCACCACTGCATCACCCCAAACAGCATCACCCAGCACCGCATCACCCCTAAAGCAGCAGCCCAGACATGTCGTGCCCGGGCTGCCCTGGACACACAGGGTGTGCTCAGCCATGCCCAGTGGGCTGAGCAGGGATGTGGGATTTCTGCCGCTGGAATCCAGCCCCTAAAGCCAAGCTCGAAACGAAACGGCTATATTTTGATAAGAGAGCCAGCACTGCCAAAATTAGTCATCAAATGCTTATTGTTCCATGCACATTAGATTAGAGCCAAACAAATGCTGATTTTAATCTCCCCAGCTCTCTAATGCTCTGATGCTTCTCAATTCAACCTTGAAAACGGCTTTTGTTCCCATTAATGGCTTTCACGCTAACGAGGCTCCCGAAGATCGAACATTTCGGCCCATCGGGTCCTTGGTTTCCACGCCCAGAGCATCACCCGTGGGCACCGGCTGTAAACCCCCAGCCAGCCTCCAGACCGAGCCGAGAGGGGCAAACTGAGGGGGTTCTCTTTGTGCCAAGCGACTGGGAGAGCAGGGCCAGCCCTGGCTCGCTCGTCCTGCCGTTCCTAAGGCTCCGTCTGTCCCAGGCTCATTAAGATGCCCAGCGCGGACACTCACCAGGCTGCCGTGCTTGCTCCCCAGCACGTTAGACTTGTGCAGGTCCCTCATTGACTCGACAAGAGCTCTGTGCAGAGAGGGAAAGCAAAAACATTCAATTCACCACCCCGGCAGGCCGAGAGAAAACACACAAACCTTTCCTGCTGCTCCCTCGGGGCAGGAGCCGACCCACAGCGGGATGTTCCCGGGGGAATTCCTGCAGGAGCCGAGCACGAGGCTGAGCCCCCCGAGCCAGCTCCTCCTCCCCGTTTGGGGTGATCGCGCATCGCTGCCGACCTTCTTCTAGAGAACAGAGTGATCCACGCAAACAGCGGCTTTAAATTAACAGGGCGGCGTTAGGTGGGAGATTGGGAAGGAATTCCTGGCTGGGAGGGTGGGCAGGCCCTGGCACAGGTTGCCCAGAGAAGCTGTGGCTGCCCCTGGATCCCTGGAAGTGTCCAAGGCCGGGATGGATGAACCTGGAGCAGCCTGGGACAGTGGAAGGTGTCCCTGCCCGTTGCAGGGATAATATTTAAGATCCCTTCCACCCAAACCACTCTGGGATTCCGAGAAGTCTTTTTTGCTCCTGAGAGCATCGGCAGTAGAAGTATTTACGTCCCAGGCCCATTACCTGACTCACACGCAATTAACCGCTCGTTAACCTGCCCAGCACCCCCGGGAGCAGCCCGGGGTGTCAAACAGCACCCCTGCCTCGCGCAGGTTTGCTGTGAGTCAGCTCCTTTGTGCGCTGCCGTGGAGAAAACTCCTCAGCTGGAGCGCTTGCAAAGGTTTCTATTCTGGAATTTGTGCTTCTCCGCAAGAAGCCTCGGCCTGACCTTTGAGAAACGGTGGTTTGTGCGAAATCCGGCACGGGCTGATGGGCAGGGATTGTTCAGGTGTTCCCAGGAGCAGGAAGGGATGTCAGGCAGAGCCCACACACCCACATGGGCTGACAACGTGCTGCAGCGCCTCAGGGATGGGGATCAGAGTCCCCAAAGCGTGTCCTGGCGGCCTGAGAAGGTCACAGGGACTGGGGGAGCAAGGATTTTCTGAGTTGCACACAGGGTCAGTTCAGGATTAGACACTGACCACTGAAAATACGGGTTTTTATGAGCCAAAACCTGCCCATCCCCCTGCAGATAAGGACAATGAGGGGTAAAGCTCCCCATTAGGGCTCCCTGCAGCCACTGTGGTTTGGATGGCTCTGAGTTATGGCTCCAAGATATTATCAGTGGTGTTGGGCCCTCCTCCAGCTCCCAGAGCTCCTCCAGCTCCCAGAGCTCCTCCAGCTCCCAGAGCTCCTCCAGCCCCCAGAGCTCCTCCAGCTCCCAGAGCTCCTCCAGCTCCCACCACCACCAGAGCACAGACGCTCTGGGGATGGGGATGGAGACAGCTCTGCTCCCCCCCAGAAAAAACATTGTCCTGCTTGGGAAGAAGCTCCTTTTCCTGGTGCTGCCATAGGTTTGACCTCCAAACCCTCAAAGCTGCTGAGGCAACTGCGTCATTTTGGCTTTGCTGGCCCTGGGACACCGTGCCCTTGGCTGTCCCTGCCAGATGATGCCACACAAGGCAGGAGGAGGTGCCAGCAGCCCCCTGCTCCCTCGGGGAGGGGAGAGGTGGCTCAGCCATGCAGGGAGAGGGTTTTCCTGCTCCCATCTCCCCCCACTCCGGCTCCCTTTTCCCATTTTCCCACGGATGAGGTGCTGGGGCGCCTGTCCCGGGGCTCGTGCCTGTTCACACCACTGATGACACACCCCATTCCCACCATCCCCACACACCCACAGCCCTCAGAGCAGGGGAGGGGTCACTCTGGAGACCCCAATCCCACAGCAGAACTCCTGTTTTCCTGCGTATGGATACGGCTGGCTGATGGCACAAACAGCTGGAGCGGCAGAGGGGAGAAGCTGAGGGAGCGGCTCCAGCTCTGCACCCACCACAGGAAACACCTTCAGGCTCCAATAAACACCGGAATAAAGGCACTGAGAGGGGCCTCGAGAAAGGAGGCTGTTCCTACAAAACACTGTCCCATTCCCAGCCCCTCCATCCAGGCTTCCCAGCAGCGATCCCGCAGCACAGGGAGCCCCGAGGTGGGATTGTTGGCAGGCGCCCTTCACTTTGGGAAAGCCACTCGTCCTTAGTGCACAGACAAGGAGGAGATGCAGGGACGGCTCGGGAAGAGCAGTTGGCTTTACAAATCTTCAGGATTAATCCCATTAGCACGGTCAGAACAAAGCACAAAAGACAGATGAATGTTTCTGAAGCGATTTCTGCCAGCTGAGTTTGTTCCAGCCCAGAAGAAAGTCACTGGGATTTCCCTGGAGTTCAACTTTTCAAGGATTTCTCCTTTCTAGAGACCCCTGATGGCCTGGGAAGGGCCTCTCCTCTTCCCAAGCCAGTGGGAAAAAGGCACCAAGCGAGGCCAGATGTCTCCTCCCCATCTCTCCTCGACCAGGGGGCTGCTTCCCAGGCACTTCCCATGTCCCACAGACACCATGGACCGCCTGGAATGATGCAAAAACCAGTCCTGGCACTCACAGAGCCCCATTTTGGACCATTTTTCCCTCCAGAAAAACCTTTCTGGGGGAGGCAAATCAAACCTCTCGTGGGTCTGTGTGCTGAGAAGAAACTCAAATCTCATTCTCATCAATAAACCCTCAGTAAACAAGCACAGTTTTCCTCCCACTCTGTTTCCCAGCTCCTTCCCACCCCGGGCAGCCAGAGGAAACATCCTGATGGAGCACAAAGCGTTTCTGGCCCCTGGAGCTGCCCTGGGTCACTGGCCACAGCATTTCACCCTCCTCCAGCTTCTTGGAATAATGTTTCCTTCAGGGAAAAAAAAAACCTTACATGCTTTTTCTCAACTTGAGGGGGTTTTAGGGAAGTCTGAGAGGGGGAAAAGTCTCTTTTCCCGTGTTGACACAAGTGTGTGACTGCGCCAGAGGCTCATCCATGAGAGTTATTTCATATCCCAGCACACATCATGGGCTCCAGCAGATTTTTCCAGCCAGGATCCGGCAGTTTGGAGCAGAATAAACGGGGCTGTTTGTATTCCAAGAGAACACCTCCAGTGGGAGAATGCCATCAATCCAAGCCCTCCCAAAATCACCTGCTTTTTAGCTGTGAAGAGGGGAAAAGCCTCGTGTGGGGTAAGAAAGGGATGGAGGTTGTGGGGAGAAAGGGGGGAAGAAATTCCTTGGGGAGATGCTGGGTGGGTGAGGGTAAAAAAATGGGGAGATAAAGCCTGCTGGGAGCACTCCCATTGTTCCTTTCGGGATAGCTTGAAAAAATCCCTTTCCAAGCCCCAGCTTTTGCACGGGACATGAACCACAGAACCTTATTTATCCTGGCAAACAGGGTAACCAGCAGGGGCTTGAGTCCTTGAGGGAACAGCTCTCCCTCACTCGCTGTTTTCCACCCAAAACACTCAAAATGTTCCTGGGAATGAGCACCCTGGGGTGCTCCACAGAGCACAGGGGGGCTCCTTTCCCACCCCAGCCCATCGCTCCTGGACAGATCCCAAAACCACCGGGGTGTTTTGGAAGCTCACCCCAGCTGGGGGTAAAACTCTTCCAAGAGAGATGAAGCAAAGAGAAAAGACCAAAAAAGAAATAAATAGAAGAAGAAGCAAAACAAACATTCTCCAGTAAATATTCCGGGCTCCAGGACCCCGTTTCCCGGCCAGAGTGAGGAAGCGCCAGAGCCGGGGTGGGTGAAGGTCACGGCACGGCCGGGTCGGGATGAGGGAGGCACTGACCCCCCTCTCTGCCAGCCCACCCCCTGCCCTCCAGGGAGCCAGAGCCAGGACAAGCCCTGCCTTGTGCTCCAGCCCCTGGGAGAAGGGAAACATCCATAGAAAGCCAATGGAGCCTTGTTATTCCGGCACAAAGAGCGCCGGGAGCTGGCGCGGGAGCGGCCGCGATGTCCCCCCCGCCCTGCCCTGGGATGTGCCTCAAATCTGGCCTTTTCCCTGTATTTCCTTGTGTTTTAGCTCTGGAATTGGGGTTTTTTGCACTTCATAGGAGGGCAGCACAGGCAACTCTCTTTGCCAGAGGTTGGAGAGATCCTTGTGATCCCTTGGGAAGGGCCAGAGCCAGCGTCCCACAGGCTGGGCCAGCACGGGATGCTCGGCCGTGGCCAACGTTCCTGTAGATTATTCCTGCTTTTTCATCATTTGCCTAAAGTACTCAGCATTTCCACAGGGACTGAGTATTCCGTGCATCTGATGAACAGAGGGTTTTTTGGGATGCAAGGTCACATTTTGGGAGGAGGAGAGCCGTGGCAGCTGCTGCACCGCTCCTGATAACAAGCGCTCTCCTGGCCCTGCTGCCAGAGAAATCTGGGATTTTTGGGAGAGGGATTCCTGGGAGAGGGGCTGTGGATGGCAGACCCCCACCCTGGGCATGGCACCACATCCCTGGGCCGTTCCCATCCCTCTCCAGCCCCCGGGATCCCTCGGGGTGGGGCTCTCACCTGCCCTGCTCTGCTCCGCGGGCTGGGCGGGTGCTCCGGACACCCCGGGACGGACGTGGAGCTCAGGGAATCGTGGGTGCTCCTCGAGCCTGGAAGAAAGGGAGACCCTCTGGTTACAGCAGCACCTCTGCCACCTGCCCCAAGCCCCAGCAGGTGCAAACCCTGATCCTCGAGATCACCAGGGGGGTGTGCAGCCACCAGTGCCAGGGATAACGCTCCTGGTGGGATTAGGATTAGCTCCTGCCCCCCCCCCCCCCCTGTCATTCCCAGCCTCCAGAGGCTCTGGGAGCTGGCAGCAGGCACAGCCATGGCATCCCAAGCAGCACAGCTGGCACAGAGGAGCAGGATGTGGCCCCATCCCTCTGGAGCCCCCCAGGCCCCGAGGGCAGCCGGAGCTGGGCCCGTACCCGGCACAGAGGCCACTTATTCTCCAGGAATTGAGAGCTCCCATTGTCCTGGGGGACAGCAGGGATGCTCCAGGGAGAAGGGCTGGGCTGGCCATGGCTGCACAGGGACCCTCACCCAGGAATCACTGATGGATCAGGCTTTGCCAACAGCTCCAGCACCCAAACTCCCGGGAATGCCAGAATCCCAGAACGGTTTGGGTTGGAAGGGACCTTAAAGCTCAGCCATGTCCATGGGCAGGGACACCTTCCACTAGACCAGGGTGCTCCAAGTCCCATCCAACGTGGCCTTGGACACTTCCAGGGATGGGCCATCAGCCCTTTATGCCATTCCCATTCCCAAAACAGCAGGAACTCTGACAGTGATCCATGGCACCTCTCTGTCCCAGACACACCCACGGGCACGTCCCCATCACGGCCCCACAGCTCCCACAGCACCACAGGGATTCTTGGCTGGAGCACAGCTATTCCCAACCCTCCCGTGCAGGAGGTGGGAGAGGATTTTCCATAAGGCCCAACAGCTTGTTGGAGGGATTTGCACAGCAGGTGGAAGAAACCACCACCCTGAGAGGGGAAAATGCAGGTCTGACTGGATCCCGTTGGGATGATGGGGGATGAGATTGGCACCCAGCCAGGGAGGGCAGTGCCTTGCAGACAGACAGACCTCCCAGCCCAGGGCTGAGCTTCCTGGGCTGTGCTTCCCATGAGCATGGAACAGGCTGGAAATCCCCATTGTTGGTGCAGGGAGGTGGTTGTCCCCCTGCCCCTCTCCAGGATTCCATGGTTCCCACCACACGGGATCCACAGCAGGACCCCACTGTGGGCTCAGAGCTGGTGGGTTCATCCCAATTTCCTCGCTCTCTGCACCCTGGCAGCTCTGGCACAGCCTCTCCCGGGCAGTTTTGCTCCCAGAGCTTTTCCCAGCTGGAGGCTGGAGCTCCTCAGCCCAACCCCGGCGCTGCCAGCAGCTCTGCCAGGAACAAAGGAGTGTGGGATTTCTGGGAGCTGAGCTTGGCACCGCTCCCCTCCCGGCCAGGGATTCCCAG